AACCCCACATGGCACTTTACTCAAATGCACATCATTAGTTAGTATCACCATTTGTCTTTTTACTCTTTCTTCTTTCTCTAAAAGGAGAAAGCCATTACTTAGAAAAGGTCATCAAAACATTGAAGCTCATGGCTTACTGCTTCATATATAAGCATTTTTCTTGTTTGCTTAAGATACTAGAGCTCCAAATCAAAGATAATCTGATAGTTTTTACATCTCTGCAAATATAGAAGATACTGTCATACATTCATGTGCATTCTGGAACGTTTGCATGCGGTACAAACAAAACAAAGCTGTAGACTTTGCAAAATATTTGGAGAACCTACCAAAGGCTTAACATTTCATAACTGCTGTGCTTCAATTAATCATAATTATTCATACAGCTCTAATCAGTTCTAATAGGTTATGAAACTGTATTATACTGTACTACACTGGGACTTTTGTAAGCAGAGGAAATGTTGCAACCTTCCATACTTATGCAAACAGATGAGACATGAGAAGCATCCTGAAAAACACTAAACCAAAACACAACAGCTGGACAATGGCATAGTGTTCTCATGATAACACTATCAAAGATCTTACCCGTTATCTTCTCTGAATCTCTTTATCCGGGTATGAAGACTCTCTCTGTATCTACTTTTTACTTCAACAAAAGGTTTGGCATGTTCCTACACTGCTCCTCTAGATGCCTCTTGTACTTTCATCTGATGAGGGTGGAATGTATAGAGGTATAAAGAGTGAGCCTTTCTTTGTTGTTTACTTTGAGCATTCAGCTAAAAAAAAAAGAAGAAGAAGCAAAACATTAAAGAATCTCTGGTCCAAAACTAAAGATTATCATATACGCTGCAGGAATAATTTCCCCAAGCACTGCATGTCCTTGCAGAAATATGCACTCTTGTTTTTAACTCTCTGGGCTTCAAAAACTTCTCAAGCAATGTGAACTGGATTACACTATCACCTTTCCTGTGCTTCTTGGCCTTCATTGCAATCGCTATTTCTTGTCTACTTGCCATGTCTTGATAGCTTTTCACATTGTTTTTGATTTTATACCACATTGTGCTGCAAATTTGTGTGTTGTGATAACCAGGATTATGATCATGACGTATAACAAGTCATCATTTGAAGCAAACATTTTGATAAAGTATCACTGAGCTCCATATCTGTCTGGACTTGACTCAAATGTGGTCATGCAACCACTATTGGGGGATTACCTGTATGCTGCTTGAATTTCTTTTATTGGACTTCCCCCTATTGATGTAATGAGACATCTTCGGCGAGGGTGTCGCTGTCTACATTCTCGCGAGACTACCAGACAGGAAGAGACGAACGCGAAGGTCAGGAATTAATGATGGCAGCCCGCAGTATGCTGGGGTCTCTGTGGACCACATTTGCCGGCTTAAAATTGGCGACACCATGTACCAACCTGCAGCTTCAGCAGAGGATAATTACTGCCAGGTTACCGGCTGTAACATTTCAGAGCCGAGGGATCCGCCAAGGTGAGAAGTTAAGATATTAACTCTGAAATATGAGGGGAGCTAACGCTGTTAGCATAGAGGCACCGACAGCTATTAGCGTTTTACCACAGATATTCTACCGTAAAGTGAAACATTCTTGTGTCTGTGTCTAATGTGCTCATTTAAGGCAACACTTCGGAATCTTATCTCATGTGCAACAGTGAGTTTGAAGAAACATGTAACCAGTAAAGAGCTTTTTGCTAAACGCCATGCTTTCCTGTTGACATCATTTCATTAAAAGTTTTCTTAACTCAAGAAATATAAATATTAACAAGTAAATAAGAGTGAGACTAAATACAAGTTTTAATGTTTTGGCAGTTGTTTCTCCTCCTGGTGTTTATGTGTTTCATATTTTATAGTGCACACACGTGTGTAGCATTCAATAAGACAATAATGGTTAAAAGCCTCATCTGACAATAATTAAAATAACAGTCTCTGTGTGTAAGCACCAACTTTTGTTTAAGTTTGATTTAGTCAGTGATACTGAAGGGGATCTTTATTCATACCATGACATCACTCATAAAAGTCTCTTTTTTTATGTCAGCACAAATCCAGAAGTCAGTAACATAAGGCTGACATTGTGTAATTTATTTGTTTTCACAGTGGTGGAGAAGAGAGAGGATAAAACAACAACCGTGAGTGTAATCATTCTAGTATCAGGTTATTTGGGATAACATGTTTTTTGTTTTTTTTAGTGAAACAGTTGATTATTTGATGTTTTGCATGCTATACATGTTCATAAAAAAAGACCACCAGAAGTTTTTCAGGCATTTCAATTAATTCTGAGCTAGAAGTGACCAGAGATTCACACGTGATGTAATTCTCAGATTAGCTGATTGGTTTGATTTAAGGTGTATGACGTCAGGTTTTATTTTTAAAGGAACAATTATCAAAAAAAAAAAAAGACAAAACATGATTAAGATGCTAATTATCTATAAGCAGAAATTTTAGCTCCTGTGAGGAGTTTATAGCTTATTATGAAACAGACTGAAATGAATATTGGTGCCTCTTTTTTGAGCTAGGAAAGCAACCGAGACCGTCTTCATACATATTGACTATTTCTCTATTGTTATTTTTTAATGGCTGAAACTGCTGCCACGGTCTTAATCCAATTCAAATTCAAAGCTTTATTCATTTAGTTGTACATACAACAAAAAGTGTGAATGAGTAATACAACATGAGCAGTCCGTCAAAAAAATCTTAGCAGGTACCGCTTTAAAGTTCCTCACATGAACTTTAAGTAAAACCTCCAAAAATTCTTATTAATATCAAAAGTACATCCTACAGGCTGACTTTTATTATTTTAATAATTGTGATTGGTAGTGGCAAACACCATTTAAAAGAGCCACAGTGAGCTTGATGTTGTCTAAAGCAAGGCAGAAGGAAGTAAAGTACGGGACTGAAACTCTAACCTAGTGCTGACTCTAAGCCTGCTCGTCTAAGAGAGACTAAACATTCAGGGGGTGACAGTAAGTGTGGAATGAAAGACCACACCAGGTAAATGCAAAGGCTCAATGGGTTGGCTTGACTATCAAATATAAAGCTTTGCAACATAATGAAATAGGTTTATGTATCATCGATGAAAACAGTTGGATTCTCACCAAAGTTGATTTTAATCATCTGTCAGATCGAGGGACAGATACTGGACGTGCCAGCAGGACCACAGCCTCCAAACCCCTCAGCAAAGTGTCCAATCTACAGGTGGAACCTGCAGAACAAATACAGCTACACGGTAAATACATGAACAGGCCTGTTCTGAATAAATGACATTAGTGAGAGTGTATCCGCTGTTTTAAAAGTGTCTGGGTTTTCTTGCCTCTAGGATGTCCTGTTGCTCAGTCAGTTCATCAGGTCAGATGGAGGGATGTTGCCCCGGAGGATCACTGGTCTCTGCCCCGAAGAACATCGCAAGATTGCTATCTGTGTGCAGATGGCCCACAGAGCAGGTCTGTGTTACCTTGTGGCCCTTATTTGTGTATTTAAATGTTCATCTGCTCTGACCTCAACTTACCCACCCCTTTTAGTGTCTGTTTGTCGTTGGGTGTCCTAAATTTAAAAATCTTAAAAAATGATTTCAAAATGCCAACAAACTTTAAAAACAGCACATTGTCGTAGAGGAAATAATAATAAGACTTTGGAAATGAATCAAGTTGGTAAAAAGTGGTTCTAGCTGAGCCAAAAAATGTACAACTGCATTTATGTTTAGCAGACCATATTATTAAAGCAGATATTTTAAACCTTGATTGTCATGATAGTTATATGTATTATTTTTAACAGCTGCAAATTAAAAATACTTTCCATAGCAATAAGCCAGTTACGATTATGATATTTTGATAAAAAATAAAACGGTAATAAAAACACATCCTTGCTAGAGAAACAAGAGTCATGGAGTGTTTGATGTTTTTTTTGCTCATTAAATGACAATTTGCTATCAGTACCGAAATCTGTATTTCAGTTATCCTTTAAAAGATTAATTGGAATACAACTTCTGATTTAAAAACAGTCCCTCAACCTGTTAGAGGGTCACATTCAGGAACTGATAATAATGATAGTAAAGGTGCTCAAGAGTCAGTTACGCTGTGCTTTGTCACAGTAAGAAGGTGAAAATATTTTTATGTCCTGTTAATAGAGTCCAGACTTGGCTTTCTTTTGTTCCTTTGACACTTATTCACACATTTTATGCAAGTACATAAATCTGTCTCCTCTGTTGTGTTCAAGGTCTGCTGCCTGACCACAAACCCAAACTTCCAGAGGACCACGTCCCTAAGAGGCCTAAGCCTCAACTTAACAGGTAATGTAGACTTGTGCGTTTGTCACCATCATCTATCAACTGCAACTGAAACTGGCATTAATTCTGTTGTGCACATCTGCTGTTTATTGTACAGATACCTGACCCGCTGGTCCATTGATTCTGTGAAACCTATCTATAAAACTGGACTGAAGTGGTGTAAGAGGCGCATGGCTGTAGGACACCCCGCACTCAAGAACAACGTGCGCTACGGCGTGAAGCCTCTTTACATGAAACATTGACAGACAGAAAGTCTTGATGAATCTACACAGCGACGGGATGCAACTCCAAATGGATTAACTTTTGTCACACTGCCTTGGGAAAAGACCTAGAAGCTTCCTCCATCTGTATTTATTTAACCTTTTGTTTATAAAACTGCGTCACGCTTTCAATGACTCACCCTCAGCCCCACCCAGAATCATCCATTCTGTCTCAAGCCCTTGAAGTGAACTCTCTGACAACTTAATGTGAGCCTCAGCATGGGTCACAGTTACAGTTTCAAAGTAGGTGGTATATTGACTGTGTATAAACAAGGCAACACAGATGTGCAAATAAAATGCGCTCAACATGTGTTGACTGTGTAGAACTGCTTTTGTGCACCAAAACTAAATGGAACAAAGAGAGTCAAACTGCCTGACTGTACCTCTTCAGTTTATTTGTTTACGATAAGAAAAAAAAAACTGCAGTATGTTGCATAGAATACATTGAGAGAGTGAATTTGACCAGCAGAAACTTGAGAAAATTGTAGATTTTGTTAAGTGTACAAATGTCACTTTTTATAACAGGAAGGGAAGGTCCAGATTTTTAGTCCCGTCTCCAATATAGATGTATCCGTGCTGCGGTGTCATTGGCACATGGTAGAAGGTCAGGCCGAGCCACAGCAGGCTGCGCAGCACGCACACTTTACTTGCACATTCAAACTGAAGACTCCACGATCCTACAGACAAACAAAGCAGACTTTTTACAAACAATTGATGTAAAAATGCATGTCATGTTCTCGAGCCACACTGTTGGGCTGAATTACAGTAGAGGCTGCAGTAATCTTTCTTTTCATCCAAGATTATACTATTCACATGCTAGAGTAGGCCAAATGATACTCCAATAAATCAACCCTTTGTGCTCTTTTGATATTCAAAGTTTATATCCAAACATATGTTTCACAATATGTTTGGGTGTGCCTGTAAACTTGATACTCAGGGATTTAAGAACAAACTATCTTAACATAAAAGTCCTTTGATTTATTATTTTGAACAAATGCAATAGACCGATTCACAAAAGTAAATCTACCCAATGCTGTATGTGATGTGCAACATGTGTTGTCCAGGTTATAGTTCTACTCCTACTACCTTCAAGAGGAGAAATATCAAGCTATAAATCAGGAGCTGGAAACACTTTGCAGGATTGTTGTAGAAAAGAGGAGGTAGCCCCAGAGGAGAGCAACTGTCTTTTAGTGGAGATATATCATGTTGCATTTCCCCCAGAGTCCCATTTAAGAAATGTTAACTCTCTTTTGCAGAAATTGCATGCTATCTGCTGTAAGGAAGTGCAGTGAGTATGGCATTGAGACAGCTGTGTAATGTCTGCTGTAGTGATGACAATGCCGACATCCTCATCAACTCAAGAGAACACACACAAACATTTACACATGTGGGAGCCTTCTTAAAGCAGACATCTGTTACATGTTTAGTTGCGGGGTGCTAAACATTTTTTCTTTCAAACACGCGTATGTCCAGAGCTTTACTATATCATTGTTTACTGTGGCCTGAAGTCCATCCAGCTGAGCAACCACTCTTAGACCTAATAGACACGACATATTCTTTTCACAGTATTTTAAGTTTTCATATTATTTTCCTTCTGGTTTTGATTTTTCCTACATACTGTTAAATAGCTTGAATGTCTAAAGTTTCCACCAGAATTTAAATACACACCTAAAAGACTTGTTATCATTATATGATTTGATCTACTTAACCACACAATCATTCAACTGTATTAAAAATCAGAAAACTACACTCACTGCACTTAAAATGTAAAATCTTTAAAGAGGTCAAAACATATATCTTGAATATTTTAAGTTTCTTCAGATGTGAGGGATCCCATAAATCATGTAATCAAGTAAAAACATCTAACTTTCCAAAGAACGAGGTTACGCCCGTTGTAGGTGGGCCCTGGCTTCATGAGTTTAGATTCTTCTAATCCAACAGTAGTCGTGAGGTTTTTAGACCACTCTATGCAAAACCTTGGTGTTTGGCCAAGTTAAATGGAAAATCTTCTGAGCATGTTCTGAGAAAACCAAATCCACAAGGGAGGTGGGCTGACGTCAGCGGATTTAGAAATGTGTCCAATCATACAACTTTGCTTTATCAACCAGTTTACGGTTAAAATGATTCACTTGTTTCTACTTGGAAGACACACCTCTTGACTTTCAGTCAGTTGAATCACCAGAATGATGTGTTTTAAATTCACACCTCATTTAGTTGTAGTGTAGCATTCCCGGCTAGAGAAGTTAAAAGGAAAAATACTGGCTAGAATGCTTTATAGGGGATTCAATGACACTTGCGATTGCTCAAAATATCTGTTCTTAATAGGTCCAGGTAAAATGACAACCACCTTTTAGCTTTCTAAAAAAAAAAAAGATCCTGTATAATATGATATTTGATGTGATGACATGACTGTATATGTTATAGTGTAGGATAGACTAAACTCGGTGGCTCCACCTTTAGGGATGTCGTCACTCAATGCATCCAGGAAGTCGAGAGCTGGAGTCAAATCACCAAACTCCAGGATGGATTTCTTCTTCAGGTTCTTTGGCTTGCTGAAATGAAGGAAGTTGTCGAGCTTCCTTGCTTCTGAGTGAGACAAACCTGAGGAAGAAAACATGTTTGCATGTCCTTCACACTGAATCACAATCATGATTTTGAAATACCTGACCAGCAGAATGTAAATTTTGGCACTCCAAAAATGTGAAACAGTCTGTTGCGGAATAATGTTTTTACCTCCAAAGCTGCGGTTGACTTGGACAAGGCCATGTGGGCTCTTGACAAAGGCTCCCCGAGGCACCACAGACACGTCTTCATCAATCTGATGAACTGTCACGGCCAACCTGCTTTCCTCTTTCACTTTGGTCTGCAAATGAGGATAGTCCATCTGTAAGCTACAACTTTATGACAGTATAGACACTGAAGGTATCAGAAAAAGAAATCACTGCGAACAACAGTGCTGTCATCTGAACAGTCTGTCGCAGTAAACAAGTCAAGGACACATCGCAAGTGGTCGGTAAGTAGACTGGCACCTCGCCAGCAACCAGTCTTGTCTCCATACTTTGGTCCATACTGAGACTTAAACCAGCGACCCTTCAGTTCTCACCCAAAGCCCCTACAGGCTGAGCCACTTCTTAAACACTTTGTCTATGGGACTTGACAACTCAGTTCTTTAACTATGTTGAATTTTGCCTTCACAAAGTTCTCAAACTTACCACGACCTCCTCATCCTTCTTTCCTTGCCTGAGGATCTCATGATGCTCGTACACATGTGAGGGGTCTCCTATGAAGCGACCTTTTGCTCCTCTGGACACTTCCTCTCTCATGGAGTCTGTGGCAGGGGGGAGCAGGAACCAGTCCATACAGTTGAAGCTGGAGACCAAATAGAGACGCTAAAAAGTATTTCACACTGAATAATATGAATAATTAAATCGATTAAGCTTCAACATACCTATAGAGATTCTTTTTGTCCTTCATTTCATCTTCTCCTCTCCCTTGAGCAATGAAATAATCTTCCTTTAATCCCAATATTTTGCCCCAAAAAAAGACTCGATCGAATTTGTAGTTTTTCTGCAGGATCACCAAAGAGGTCTGCAGGGCAGCTCTCTGTTCGACGTTTAACGTATATCCACTGCCAGCAACGAGTTCCAACGAATAAAATAAAGAATTTGAGTCCATTGTTTCATTAATAAACGATTCTAAAACGTAGATATTAGTTACCGTGACGCTATCTGCTTTGTAAAAGTACTCGCTAGCCTACAAAACGGCTAACTATAACAGTCAGGGTCAGAAACGCTTGGTTGCTATTGGCAACAAACCATGTTGCACAGGTTGTCATAGCAACCTTTCCTTTCCGGTACTCCTCTATGTTTTCTTTATATTTTATTTTTTTAAATAACCTTCATAGGTTTGATGTGCGGTCACAAAATAATATAATGAAAACAGTCATGAAACATAAAAGGTCAAATTTCGGAGTGTTACTTAAAACCAACCCATGCGCGAGCCTTGTCTGACGTCATGGCCAAGCTTTTCAAGTGTGTGCCTGCCATGGTGCCTGCATGATGAAGCTGTTTCTGTTTAAGAAATAAGCCCAGAGCACACACATTTTAATATGTGACAACGTTTTATAATGTCAGAAACCAATCCTAAATCCCTTTTATGGCAGAAAACAGCAGGTGGAACAAAATAAGATTCATGAAGCTCTCTATTTCATTTTGATAAACCCACTTAGCAATTTGAGGATAGCCTTCATGTTTTAAAGCAGAGAACAGCCGTCAGTTTTGTGATAATGTAAATGTCTTCCCAATAAAAAGGTTTAAACACGTGAAACATAGCATCTTACATTCTACAGGCTACAGAGTTTATATACATCTCTTAGAATTGATTTCTGCAATCAAAGCAAAATCTATGTAGTTTATTATCTTTGGTATTGGGCTGTTTTGGACTTCCGTGCAAAATAACGACAATGTTTCTTGTTTTTTTGTTCTGAAATTGGTTATTTATATATTTCCCTCAATTTTCCCCTTTTCCTTGTTTAGTCAACAAACGTTGTTACCACAATAGAGCCAAAATGATAGGCTACTTAAATTAAATTAAATTTTCTCTGATACGTCCGTGATTATTATTTCCTATTTCTTTTTGCCAGGAAGACACATTTAGAAGCTATTGTAAGGATTTCCAAGGTGGAGATTGAAAGCTCTCTGAGCAGACTTCAAGCACTTTCTCACATAAAGCTAGTAGAGAGAGGGAAGCGTGCAGAGGAATGGAGGGAGTGCCTGGAAGACAGAACTGGTTAAGCCTTTTAAACAGCTGGCAGGATGCATGCTTGGATCCTTCTAACATGACTGTAATTCTGATGGGAATAGCAATGAATAGTGCTCAGAAATCAGCCTGTCGTATAAACATACAGTCATTTTGATTTGTCCATTTATTCTGGAATAGAAACAATGTAAAAAAAAAAAAGTGCTGGAGTTCACTGAGAAGGAAACTTAGGAGATGAATACTAGTAAATGTATTGTCCTACCATTGGCCATAATTTAAAGTTACTTGTGCTCTGTGATGTGAAATGAAAGCATACCTATACCTAAATCAATGTTCCTGCAGGCTTACTGAAATTCTATGAATAGGACTTAGAGCTGGGTAAAAAGAGGAGAAAAGAACCAGTGTGCATTTGTGTGAGCCTGCTTTAGAGTTAGGGCTATAGAGGTGATTTGGCTGTAGTTAAAGAGAAGTTCCTCTGTCTGAACTGCTTGTGATGTGATTAGTTAAATCCAATGCTGGTTAATTTACGGGAATTTTTCAGCTTTAAAATGTTGAGAAATGGTCAGGTGTTGGAGAAAGTAACGCCAGATTTCTGTAATTAGTTTTTCCCATTGAGGTTTTAGTAAAATACTATTTCCCTCTCTACTGGTGGGCTTTTTAATTCTGCTCAAACCTTCTTTCATAAGATGCCAGTATTTTGTTCATGTTTCCTTTCATGCTGCCACAAGCTGCTTTCATTCATAAAATTCCATCGTATCCAATCCAACCAAAGAGTTTTCATGTTCCGCCTGCTCCAACATCTTATTTTCAAATTTGAATCCTCCACTGTTTCCATTAAACTGCATATCAAAGACCAAGTTCAACACGCTTAAAGTCCAACACATTCACGAGTAGTCCTTTTAGTAATTTCATGCATTAACAAGTCACTATTTGTGGTGATGTGGCTTCCTGAACTCAACCATATACTATTTATACAGGCAGAATTAGCAGTTTTGATATCACTGGGCACTCTAAGCACCATAGGGGAAAATCCTATTTAAGGACACCAAATGAACAGCGTTTTTTTTTTATTTGTCCTGGCTCAGATGGGGCAATTTAAACTGATAAAAGCAATGTGTTGGCTTAAGTTACACTAAGAAACACATGATAAGAAATTGTGCAACAAATAATTTGGGACTGTCTGTTAGTGGTAGGCTAATCTTGTACTTGGTTATACTGTTTTGACTCACCTCAAAAAGAATGTAAACAATGGCTTTTGCAGAGAAACTATATTGGCTAGTTTTAAAATAGGTTTGATTACATTAAAGCCTTATGCAATGTTAGTTTAAGAACATACTGAAGGCAGTCTTCTTAAAAAAATCAACAAACTGATAAAAGGTTTCAATAACTCTTTATTTCCAGTCATTTCCATGCTTGCCTTTTCCCATGCCATACTGCGATTCTAGGACTCAGTATATTGGCTGTATTTGTCCAAACAAAAGGGCCTCGGTCTGCAGTCACATGCTTCATCAGCAGTGGTGATTTCAGCTGTCTGGCCCACCGCCCTTCTGGCTAATGTAGTCCACCAACAGAAAAGAGAGGGAGAGTGGGGTGACTTTTCTACAGAGAACCTCACACAGAAGAGAGCACGTAAGGACGGCCCCTTACCAACCCATCTACTCACCCGCACAGACAAACACACTTTGAGCTTGTGGCTCAGGATGGCACATCATTAGAGTTGGCAGTCTAGGTGGAAGTTTTGGAGTTGGAAGACACTGAGCGACGCACTAACATACACATACATACACACACCATTGCACTTCTGTTTCCCAATTGGCTGGGAAGGAAGTAATACTTGGAATGAAGCGGTCTGTTTCTGTCCTGGTCCCACTGCTCTGGGAAACTCACCTCCCAGGCGACCACCGTTGCCACGGCACTAATCCTGACGGACAAAAGATGGGAGTGCCACAGAGCACGATGCTGCCAGATGCTCTCATTGGTTGGCAGCATCCCACGCGATGCTGGGATTGGCCGGTTCTGTGTTTATATACAAATTGGAGCAGCCAGAGGTCACATCCATCGATCTTGGTGGTGACATGAAGGAAACCTGACCTCAAAACCTACCTCTAAAGGAGTTTAATTCGTGTTTGATATATACACACACACACACACACACACACACACACACCCACACACCCACACACACATACACACACACAAACGTAGCAGCTCTTTCCTAAGTTCAGTGGCCTGGGAGTGCAGCATTAAGTGAATGCTGAGAGAGTGGGAGTGAAGTGACTAAATAATAGTGTCTGTGGTATACAAAAGCACAGACGACAACAATACCAAGAATGCAAAGAGGGCAATGAGTTCAGTGGGTTGCACACCTACACACTAAAGTCACAGAGGTTTTGGATTAACACTGGATAAATATTTTGATCTGGAGTAAGGCCTGCTGTTTAAAGTAGTAAAACTGTATAGGTTAAAGGTTTGCTGTTTTATTTGACCTAAGGTGCCCTTTTATAAACAATGGGTTTTAGGAAAGCTAAGGCAATCTGTGATTTATGACTCATATTTAAATAAAATTGACTTGATCTGGACCTTTTTTATAAACTCTTTCTCTTAGGCACACTTTCACACTATAGATTGACACCACTGTATAGTATGTGCAGTAAATATGTAGCTACCACCAACAGACGGTTAGCTTATGTGGGCAGATGGAAATAGTTAACAAAACGCTGTAGTAAGGTAACATTCCCCCTAAAAGCCCATCTAAACCTTATAAATTTCATATTTGTTTACTTTCTATAGCAATGAAAGTGTAAATATGACATCCTATGTCTATGTCCTATTTGGACAAGAGATGCACCAAACCTCACCCAGTTTGCCTGTAATTGAATCAAACTTCTGATCACACGCTCACACACCCAGTACTAGAAAGTCCAAGAACCATATGGGCCAAAACTGAGCCAGTGAATCTGAGGTGTGTGTAATATCAGTTCAAAGCTGTGTGTGTGTGATCTAGGAGCTGTGTGATGTAGTTCTGGCAGCTGCTGCTGGACAGAGCTGCTTCCCAGGCTGCTGCACCTTCAACATCTACATCCCTCCTTCTCCACCGAACCCGCAGAGGACTTTCTTTTCCAAACAGTAAGGGCATTAGAAAAACACACATTTTTAACACACAACCCATACACATAACATTAGGTGTCTAATATTAAACTCTCATCTCTTTCCCAGCTCATCCTTGTCGCCACATGAGGATATCTGCAAGTTATTAGTGCCTTGACCCTGCACAGATTTTTCATGCAACTCCGTTGAGGTATGTCTGTTCAGTATCTTCTAGTCTCTTTGCATGGGAGTCATGCAGTGTATGTGATTATTATTTTTTAACAAATAACTATATTTATTCTGTGGGTTTTAATATTCATGTTAAAATACTAGGGGCCGGTAGTACCTCTTAAGAAAGTATCTATTGCTTAATCACAAACAAACAGATACACACCCAAATGAAATAATAGTGTACAAGATTGTTTTGTAATGCATCCTTTTCAGATATTGCGTACATGTCTTTTTTTCCCCTATATTTGCTGATATGAAATGTATTCTTACAGAGTATACAAAGCGGAAAAAAAATGCTTCGTGTGGTTTAGAATTGCTGTCATGATGTAGAGCATTCCAGCAGAGCAACAATCTATTGACATTTCATAATGTTTTCTGTTTAGAAATAAGCCTTTCAAGTGTCCGAACAGTGTGGTGAAAAAGGTGCATAGTTGAAAATGTACTTTATCTGCCTCCATAATGCTAATCAGTATACCACCCACTAAAATTTGTATATGTATCAGTGTCAAAAGGCCCTCATCGACTAAACAGTTTTACTAGCAACCCATCTTTAGTACACTGGGATATTTATGTATGTAGTCTGTGTGCTTGAGCCATAAAAAAGCCCATGACTACGCTTTTAGGACGCACTACAGTGCTATTGTTATTGATTTCTGTCTTCATTTCAGGGACTTTTATTCATATTCATTTCCCATATCTAACAACTGTGCTAATGACTAAAGCATGTTACAAGCCCTCCAATAGTAACATAGGTGAAAAAAAGAAAAGGGGGCAGAAAAAAGAGTAGGCAAAGGAAAGTGAAGAGAAAGGGAGACAACAGTGACAGATCAGGTGAGGAGGTGGAGCTACTAGAATTGTCGACCAGTGAAGTGGCTCATACCAATGTCAGGATAAGTTAAAAATCCTCACTGCAACACTGTGTGTGTTTCTGTCCTCTTTCACTACTGTGTGACTATTTCAGAGGTTAAACTACCCAAGTGTAGCTCAACAGTGCCCCCAAATGACACCACACGTACATTACTGCAATGTTTTTCCAGTTTATATTTGTTCAACTGATACTGTTGACATTTACCCCCGCATACAAAGCTATGACTGAGTTCCTATAAAACATATGCAACCAGTAGACATCATATCTATTAAACCTTAACAGTCACCAACCACTGTACAGTTACATTTCTGCAGTTAGGATTAAGTTAAAGGCACATTTAAAAAAAGCAGTAAAGCAAAAAGTCAATGTACAAGTACATTAAATACAAATAAATCTTGACCTGTTTTAAGCATTTCTTCATTATTGGAACAGCGTCTGTATCTGATCTTAAACAAGAATGAAAATTATGGCTCTGACCATTGTTGATCAAATTTGGTTGCAACTTCTTCAATACTCTCACAAATTCTTGTTCTTTTGTCTCATTACAACAGCACAGACAGTAAACTTTAGTTAGTAAACAGTAGACAGGGTTCTCCTCTCTTCTCACAAGTTTCATAATTAACATTAGGCAATAAGTTATTCCCTTGGCATATGTTGTCCTCTGGTATCAAAAAAGACACTGTGAAGTAATCGAAACCTGATAAAGAATAGAAAACTCTGCTTGTCCACTTTTTTGGCTGCAGTGATTTTCTTCTTCTGCTAAGTAATTAGCTTTGGCGTGTGCAAAAAATACAAATTTCAGGAATTGTATGCAACCATTAAGGCATATTTTAAAAAAGGACATTTTAGACACAGACATTACTCGGGAAAAGTTGTTTCTATCAGAGAGGTCTCGTTAAATACTATGGCGGGAAACAGAACGCAAGCTTATCATAAATGTGCACACTTTGTTGATTAAGTGCAAACAATAATTCAAATTCAACACATTGTCCTTCATGATACTATTGACTCATAGTGTGTCTTTATATCAGCATGAGGTGGAATAGTTTGACAATCCTGATCGTTGTTATACACTACTATTACCACCTTGAGATGATCTCTCAGCGGGACAGGCTGAGATGAAATCAAACTTCCATGTTGAAATGATTGTTAAGGAAACAAATGAAAGATAAAGAGCCGTGGGCATCCTGACTCATCAGTGTTGGAAAAACACAGTTTCAGGCGTCCGACGTGCTTCCTTCCACGGGAGTAGAGCTGAAGGTCGGACTTCCCTCCGTAGAGCCGTACCCCTTCTCAGGTTTGACCTCCTGTGGGTTGCTGGCTGGGGATTTGGGGTTAAGCACTCTGGGGAGGTAGACCTGAAGTTTCCCCCCCAAAAAATAAAAAATAAATAAAATGACTTGACTTGACTTGACAAGCTATGATGCATCAGATATTAACTTTGCAATCTGGAATGGTTTGTGAGACAAAGGCTTATTGCAAAAACAGATGAGTATTCTGTTCAGAAAAATAAAGTGAATGTCAGTTTAAATTGACAAAGTACAGTACCGTGGTGCTATCCTCCGCTCGCTCTGCTGTATCCTGATCCTCGTCTTTTGTCTGCAAAACATCCAAACAAAAACCCCATTAAATTTGAATGTTGACAAAGAAGTGCACACTATGTAGTCAAACACAAGCTCACCTCATAGTTGTGTGGGCTGAGGTATTTGAAATGACCAAAGCAGGTGTAGCCAACGCAGATGAAGACAGTGATGAACAAGATGACCATTGTGAATAAAGAGGTGGAAGCCCAGAAACCTGAAACGTCAAACAAAAAGATTCAACGGCACGCAGAGATTTTACCTACAGTGCTTTATCTAGCAGCATTGCAGCAATCATCTTCATGTTATTATGTAGCAAGTGAGGAAATGTTCATTTTTTCACTCTCAGCACAAATCTAAATGTAGAGAGAAACAAATTATTTTCCAGTTAAAAATTTCAATTCAAAAAAAATATAACACACGTATAGTGTCCAGAAAAGCACATTCTGACTCCAGGCTGAAGAACCTTCACAAAGTAAGGTTTAATTTTGCCTTGTTTTTAATAAAACTATTAACCATAAATCCTGAATTTGTTTCTCACTTGTTCTGAGGACAGAGAAGAAGTAAAGCCATATCAGGCAGATGATGGGTGCAGCCAGAGCTTGATTGACAGCTGCCAGGTGGACCTGGCGGTCAAGGCGAGCAGGCAGGTAAGCAAAGTACATGTTGTGTTTGTCCACCAGGTGCTTCAGCATCATGTACAGCAGACCTTCAAACAAACAACACAGCTTTTAATTTAAAAAAAACCAAAAAAAAAACCCATGATAGTGACTGAGTATCCGCTGCAGTTGTGTATGAGTATACGTGCAGCCCCTTTCACTACTCACCAAAAGGCACAATAATAGGACATATGATGCTGTAGGCCATAATGACAGTGAACACACACAAGCTCCAGCCGTACATGGCTCCATATTCAAACTCATACGCCTGGTTCTGTTAACAGATATCACAAAAAGGAAGTCGATTGAAATGTTTAAATCAGGCTGAGAAAAATAATCAAAACTACAAACTAAATATTCTCTTCTTCTATAACTTTGATCCAATTTAAGTCTACATGAAAAAAGTCTGACATGAAAAGTCAGAAAATATGTGGTATAGATATCCATTTATAAAACAATAAATATGACACAAGACCATTCCAAACAGTTAAAATATAAAAATATAATATTGTGTACAATTTGAATTGCTCCAAAACATTTTATAACCCCATAACAAACCTGTTTGACATATTTCCTTTCAGCCGCAGAGCGAGCAAGCGCCATACGAATCATGTAAAGCAATAACCCTGGCAACCGCAGCAACTCCATCCCAGAGCCCACCAGGGCCGCTGCTATCACATAGTTGACAAAAAATGCTCCTTGGTCAGGTAAGAACACACACCTGATGTGAGAAAGGGAAAGGATAAAGAAAACATAAACTGAGTTAAACTAATGATGGAGATACGTTAATAAAAATTATACATTTAAGTTCAAACAAACCATCTTTAAGTGTTGAAAAACTTTAATTATAAAAAACAACCAAAACTAAAATACATGCCAAAATACAAAACTGGATCACAAAAGTGTCACAAACAACGGTGGGCCAAACAAAGATGGATTACTTACTCAAACCTCAGTTTTCCACCAGAGAGAAACTCTTTATCGAACAGCCAGCGGAAAAACACAGCAAGACTAAAGAAGACACAAAAAAGAATTGCTAAAAGTTAGGCTCGATTTTCTCTGAATCCACAAAAATACATGCTTACATGTAAACTGCAAGTCACTATCAATGCCTCCTTTTTTCTGAAGTATGCCTGCTCTCCATAAAATGCAATATTTGACAACAGCAAAATTATAACAGCAAATGAAAAATGATCTTTGATGCAGGACAAACTATTGTTTACCTTGTGAGTCCGAGCGAGGGCAGGATAAGCACCATGAAGAGCAGGAAGAAGTACAACTTCCGCATCATACTCAGCTGCTCACTGGACCTGAGAGACAGATGCCACTCGATCAAAACATTTTCGATGCACACTGAAACCAATCACTGCACTGCCAATTTGTGTGTTTGTGCGTGTTTACCTGCTCCAGTGTGCCTCTCCCAGTGTGGAATAGTAGACTATGGTGGGCAGCAGGGCAGAGAAAGCCCACAGCATGAGAGTGGGGAAGAACTGAGTGACAATTGGGCTCTTGAATTGAAAAACAAAAAAACAAATCAAACAGCAGATTAAAGCTTTGACAGAAATGTTGTGATGAGTCTGTGTGTGTGTGTGTGTGTGTGGGTGTGTAGATGTGGAAGTCTCACGTTGAGATAGTAGATGGGCCTCGTAACATTGAACTTGTCCATGGTGCTGATGATGATGGTGGGAGTGGTGAGGAAGGTGAGCAGGAAGAAGAGGAAGAAGTTGATCATAATATAGCGGATGTACCAGGGGAAACCTCCCACTGAGAGATTGTCCCTGTAGGACAGAGAAAACAGGAAAAAGAAGCAACAGGACAGTTAGATGCAAAGAGGAGATGCAAAGAGCAATGTGTGGGTTACACTCTAATTTCTACAATTTTGCCAAAGATTTGGAGGATGGCATTTTCCACCCTTAAGATTACTATGAGAATATACTTTCTGGCTGATCCAGGGTTGAAGTATAACTGATCCTGAACAGACTCTTCTTCTATTTAATAGCCTGCTATTGTTGCAGTGCTGCTCTCCTAAATGACCAGCAGAATATACAATGAAAACCTCTCTTAAATTTGTGATTAAAATTAGACTTTTCTTACAAAAAACATGAGCCCTATTTAGTCTGCCATTTCAATTTGCAATATGTTTGTCTTTGTGGTGTTTCGCCTTGAGTCTGAATGTCCCGGAGGCGTAACGGGGGGACAAAGCGATCCCCCCTCTGTATCGTCTTCACAGGTAGAAACAGGACCGCTACGGAGGTGAGACGGTTTCAGCAGAGCCAGCGAGGGAGCGCAGCGCTGTGTGTTTGTGCATGTCTGAATGTGTTTGTATGTGGAGCACCACTTGGCCATCAGAATATCGTTAAAAAAACAACCACGTGACTCAACTACATATTAAATAATAATTCAAGTGACTTGTTTCCAAGCCAAAAAGACCACAGTTACATCAAAAATACGTCTTATGATCTGCATGGAGCTCACACAGTGTAAAGTGTCGTTTCAGGTCTTACCAAAACACATTTTTGGGATGCGGTGCAAAGTTGACTCGCCACTTGTTCACTTTCAGACTTTCACAATTTGATGAAGGCTGCCGGTCCCTCCCACAGCAGCGTGTGCCGCCACAGTCGAGTGCGTTGAAGTCTTTCAGAATTCTGAGGTGAGTAAACGACAGCTGTTAGTGATACACATTAACAAATATTTTGCAATACTGGTTGCCTAAAGCCCTGCTTCCAGTAAAACAAATCATGTGTTGACAATAAAACCAAGAGATCAATGAACTGATCAGGCCAGAGGAACAAGCACAGTCAGCTGACTCAATGCTGCCAGGCAGTTATCACTGGTACAAACTGGATGCCAACTCAGCATCATAAAATAACTGGTTGCATTGCTGCTGGACTGGATTGTTAAATTATGTGTCAGGTAGCACAGACATTACAGCTTTTGCATTTAACAATTAAATACAACTTACAACTTAACTCACAGAAAAAGACACCTTTACATTGATACTCACAGCTTGGCCATAGCCTCCGTCTGCAAGGTAACAAAGGCTATCCCCAGGGGGCGCTCTGGCACCAGTTCTACCTGCATCCTCACTTCTTCCAGCAGGTCTTTTTCTTTAGTACTGTAATACTCTATTGCATCAACCTGAAGAAATTCACACAAACACACACAAAGATGAATGGCTTAAGTGGAAGCAACTTTATTCAGAAGCTACTTCAGAAGAAGTATTTATATGTCCTCTATTTACGTGAATAAAACTGATTCTACATTATCTCCACATGATTTGACTTAATGATGAAGTTATAATTCACTCATGAAAAAACGTGTGTAGGAGCCATGTTTAGGAAGTGCAAACACAAATTATTCCAGCAGATGTCGCCTTTAGGTTAAGGTGATATATATAGGTAAGAACTATCACTGGGGTGTCAGGTGTTGCTAGACGGGGAGTAATTAAACTTTTTTGACCGCTGTACGCCACGCTATGAGGTAACAGGAGTGAATGGAAATGGAAATGGAACAGCTCACATGTGACATTAATCAAGACAACGATGGAATAAGAAATAAATATTCCCAAACGAATAAGATATTGGACTGTCTTTTTGCAAATTCTTACACTCAGGAGCGAAGCCGGCAAGCGCGTCAATTAATAGGCTGGATTAGCCCGTCTATGTAGCCCCTCAGTGGCTTTAAGTTTTAGGCTTAGACGCTATAACGTAAACAATGATTTTTTTTCCAAACCTAGATTGTAACATTCAATATAAAAAGTTAAAACTATGCTACATGAAGCTGTCACCTTATCATCTGTTTTCTCTCACCTTCCCTGATGGGCTGCAGCAGCAGAGTTGACCACACAGGCGGGGGTTAATCAGCTCACGATTCCCTGTTGTCTCTAAGAAACGCTCATAAAAGCGAAGGTTTTTTCCAGCTCGTATCCTGTAGTTAAAAAATAACGACAATAGAAATAGAAGTCAGTTTAACTTGCAATACATTGTAAAGAAATGTATGAACTCTTGAGCAATGTGCTGGTTGATATGATTCAGTGGCCATGCTCACGGCACAGATAGCATCGATATGATGCCGTTTATTAAAGTGACCTATGATTTCTTACCTTTCTTTATCTAGGTGCATGAGCTTGGCCACGTCGTAGCCCAGAGTCACAGCACACACTCGACAGGTTGGATACGCCTCTCTATGAAAACACAAAACCAAACTTTAACTCAACTGAATTTTTGAAGCTCTTTTCATTCAGACACTCAGCCTGGAGTGCATCACTTAGGGACAAACAGATGAAAATGAAAACACAAATTGACAACCATGGAAAATATTTTTTTAAGGACTAATAATAATTTACACCATTAAATTATAGAATAATTCACTCACGTGAAATGGGTCTTTACAGCATCCTCTGTTGCTGTTTTAGGGACTGAACACACAAACAAAGTGTTCCTGGCCTGCAAACAAAACAACACAGTGACAGAATAGTTGAAACACTGTGATCTGGAAAGGCTTTTCATTATGTACTGGACTCCTCAAGGTGCAATCTGATGCAAAACAAGTCATGTGGAAACCGTTTTGGACACATGAATTTGGGGAGACCTAGTGTGCAACACTTTCATAAAACACATCTCATTGTGTAGTATTCAGAGACTCACTGTCTCTCTGCGCACGCCTTTGATTTGTGATGTGTGATGTCGCAGCAGAAAAACCGTCAGGACCAGGTACAGGACTGCAAACACTGTATGCAGCCATAACAAGTTGTTTCTAGAATCAAAAACCATACCCCAAGAGGCATTTTGTTATGACCAAAACATTCAACTTTTTTTTTCCAAATACAAAATGTATATCCAAGCAGTGACAGTAGTTACCCTGCCTGAAGATTCCCAATAGTTGTTCTTCCAAAACTCTTTGGCTCATTACCTGAAGAAAAACCAAACATATTCACACAAAAGAAAACATATGTACAATTAGAAAAAATGAAATAAGAAGAGACAAGAAGATAAGTTTAAAAAAAACAACTGCAACAAAAAAAAACAAGAACATTTGAACCTAAACACCTTGTTTCAACAATCAACCAATCAATTGTACTGTGATAAAATGACACACTTTATTTTTAAAACAATAAATGAAACAGACTTAGTTTACACCTGGTCCACAATCTGTATGTAACAGACTGAATGAAATGTGTCTTACTGGAACTATAGCACACATTTGTTGTCCTCACCATTATAACATTTCTTTAAGTTGGGCTTTTTTTTTTTTTTTACTTCAAAGGCAGAGAAGAGTGTAAAAACATACCCATCAGTTTTCCGCTCAGGTTGGCAGGAAGTATGATTCCGAGGGAAGTGACAGTTATAACCATCAGCAGGCCGATCAGGTGACGCTGAAAGGACAGGTAGTGAACAGCATCCATGCCACATCTGGCTTTTATTTTTTCTTCACTGAAACACAAACACACACAATAAGCGGAATAAACACATGCCTCATATATACAAATTAAAAAACAGTTTTTACTGAGTAAACAGATAAGACTGTGCTGAGCACAAAAGACAACAAACTACTGAGTCACTCACTCCATTCTGAGGATGTAAGGCAGCCAAGAGCAGAATCCCTAAACAGAGAGAGAGATATTTTAGACACAACTCATATATGATAAATCTTTAAGGAATATGTAGTTAGTACCATGGTCCACACTGTAGTCTTCCAAAGGCAACATGAAACTAAAATTTTAAAAATAGCACGTCAAATCTGTGAAACAAAAAGGATCTGAAAGCCTTGCTATGTGTGGCTAAAAATGATCTAAAGCGCATTTAGAGGAAGCCTTTAAAAAGCAGAGGTGTTGGTAATGATGTTATAAATGAATAAACGGATAATATTTGAATACTGAATGTTGCACTTAAACTATTGGCAAACACACCAATTCATACTCAGGGTCCTCCACGCTGGACACAATTGAAGACATGCGTCCATAGCGACGGTGTTTTGATCCAACAAACCTGAAATGCAAAGTTCAGTGTCAACTACAAATTAGAAAAAAACACAAACAAAAAGAAAACATAACCAAATAAAAAAAAATTAAAATAAAGAAAGTGAGTAAATGAACTGACCCCTCTTTGTCTGCAACTAATGCCAGACGCCCGTAGTCCCAGAACTTCCTCCTGATAATGGAGAAAAGGATCAGCAACACCTGCAGGTAGCAAAAAAAATAATACCACTCAGCTGTCACATTAATCATAACACATTTCACATATTTACTACATTTACTACACAGACAGACAGACAGACAGAAACAAACCAGGAAGACAGAGAAATCTAGTAGTAGCACAACAGGCACTCCTCCAAAGTTGAGTGTGTTTAGTACAGTGCTCTGAGAGGAGCCGTAGCAGCTAGTGTTGTCCGAAAAGGTAGTGGTATTATTCCCGGTCAGCAGGGGCCACTGCTCCCACCACTGGGAAGACATCACTGGGGTGGCACCAGATGTTTGCCTGCAGATAGTGATTGTAGTATTTAAGTGTGGGAGAGAAAAGTACTCCTTGGGCAAATGCTTGTTCAACACAGTGAAAAGAAAAATGAAAGGCTTCAAGAAAGAGTTATTTGCATAAACAGTCAATCTGTCAATAAGATGTCAGAATTTTGTTTTATGTAGGTCCAGCTTACGAGAGCCCTAGCCCTAAATCCTTCAAAATTCTATTAACAATACAATATAAATAACAAAAAGGGACCAGATCCTTTAAATACCTGGAGCTAGAAACAGACAATTTTTAAAATTATCAAAATTGTAGGCAGTACATTTTATGCATTATGAGACTTATTATTAGAACAAAACTCTTTTCTGTATTGTGTGTCACATTGGAGAGGAAAGCATAAGACAACGATCAGCAAAGGAGGAATATGTTAACAATATAAGGAACTAAATCAAGTGGCTGAAAAAAATTACCTGCAGATGATCTGAAGTTTGAATGATTAATCTATCTGAACCATGGGGTGAAGTGTTTTGTACATATTTCAGGCCTTAGAAGTACTTTAAATAGGGCTGCAAGTACTAACTTGTTTTTAATGTATTAACATCAATTATCAATGTATAAAGTTAGTAAATGTCAAAACAAATGTAATGCTGATTTTTTTGGTTAATTGTTGTGTGAAAATTATTTGTTTTTAGTTAAGTGTTAGTTTTCTGTCTTATTTCAACAAAGTATTTTAAGCAATGTCTTAACAAAAATAAATAAATAAAATACCGTATAAAGGGAAAACGTTTTAACTTCTGCAGTCACAGAACTCGTCCAAAAAATAGAAACTGATGTGCTGGAGACAAATTGTTAGGATAGGCTGTGTGTCCCTCAGTGTGTTTGTGTCACAGAAGAAAACTAAGGCCACTTTCTCTATTCTTTAATTCTAGCCTATTTCAGTTAGTTGTGTTTTTTATAACACAGCCTCTTTTTTTTGTATTAACGATAATAATACGATAGTGTTCCCAACAACCAAGCAGCTTGTTTGTCACAGAACAACACTCTTCACACCAAAGGAGGAACTAAGTTCCTTTTGGCTGAAATTGGTCACAGTGAGAAGAACCCAATGCTCTCGGTTCCAGTTGTGATTGCAGTTGTGTGTAACTAATGGAAATAACCTGCTATAGTCTAAAACATAAATAATGGTAATTTTTTTCTCATAATGCAGCAGAATGGCCCCTTTCTGGAGTTATTTATTATTTAAAATATCCTTGGATTAATTTTTACTGTGTAAGCAGCTTTTTGTAGCTAGCAGAACTGAAGCTAGTATTGATTACTTTATACATTGTTGGGTGATTTATTCTATAACAATGCACTGTGTTTTGCCAACCTCATATAGCAAATAAGACCAAGTCAATATAGAAGTAGGCTAATAAACACAATATTTGAGATATGAATTGCAGTGAAGCAAGTAAGAAGTATCATAGAATGTTTTTGTTTTTTTTAAGTAAAGTAAAGGTAGCCTACTTTAAATGTGTAGGCTGATCGAGTCATTACACTTTAAATTACACCATTGCTTGATTCATATCCTGAAGTGTAGCATCATTTTAATGGTCTCTTCTGATGTACACACACCAATATCAGGCCTTGTTTTTCAAGCCTCAACCATGCCTTTGCCGGAAGCACAGATGAATTGACTGACAGTAAATGTGTTGCTTTCAATGCGTGTCAATCCCGCACGCCACAAGTCATTAGCAGTGCTCTCGCGCCCCACCTCCCCCGGAAATAGACGGGCACGCTGAGTCACGCGGGTGAAGTTATGAGTTAAAATGTAAGATTTAACCTCTGAATGTTGCTTGTTAGCAAATTGTAAGCCTAGAGGGGTCACAAAAAGTAGATAATGGCAACAAAAAAAAAAAAAAAAACTGATGTAAGATGATTTTCCATCTCTTATCTTGACTTCAGATGTTTGTGTCGGAAGTACACAGTGAAGCCTTTTGTGTCCTTAACAGCTGTTTGACACTTTGACTCACTGAGCTTTGTGGCGATATGGTGTTTAATTCAACTAATAATAGCTTACTGTGTTAAGTTGAAAAGGCAAACTACAGTGAAGCTGCTAGCCCACACATAAAGATCGCGAATGCTAATAAGACACAGAAGAGTTTGCTTAAGTTACTCAGTCAACACTTTATGTAAACACCGACTACGGAACTTAAAATACTTCTCTTCATATCACAAGAACATGAAAAACAAAACAAGTTCGCATGTGGCATGGAGACTGTCTTACCTGTATGCGTGTTCGTTTTTCCTCCAGGAGTAAACTTCTTCCCACTGTAAATACTGTAAAATATGTTTCACTTCGTCTCCGCTCTCTTCCTCCCCTCTTTATGTTTATGCGCATGCGCAAGCGAAGAAAACTGAGCAGGCTGCTGTCTCGTGCTCTGGGTTGCAATCCTCGAGCTGCTGAGGGAGAAACAGAAGCGGGAACGCCCACCTCTTTTTCTCCTGGGAACTTTAAACAATAAAATGGGCACAAGTGCTGAAGTAAGCTACGTATTGATATAGACTGTATTTGCCTCTTTTTCTCATGGCTGTGCTTTCTTTTTGGGTTTGTCTTATATTTCTTTTTTTTGCTGCTGCCATTTTGGCCAGGCCTTGCTCGAAAAAGAGGTCATTTGATCTCAAGCAATTCTGCCTGGTAAAATAAAGGTTACATTTAAAAAATAGGCATTTTTTACACTAAAAAGTGTAAAGGCTATTGGGATAAGGAATCCGACAACAACACTAAAAGTTTTTAAAAGTGAATAGTAGGCCTACATAGGCTACATACCAGCAGCATTTGGATTAAAAGGCAACTTGGATAATTGGCTATTTGAATTGAAGCAGTTGAGTAGAAGCTCCCTTTAATAATATACTGTTTTACAGTTTGTCACTTTTTCATGATCAGTTCCTGAAAATAAGGCTGTTTGTCAAAACTCGTACAAAATCAGAAATCATAGCCTATCCTACAATACCTACAAAACCTTTTACATCTCTTGCAAGCACTACATTGAAAACTATAGCCTTTGAACTCTTCTACAATTTTACTTTTGCTTCAAAACTAGCCTACACACAAAACCTATGGGTACTTACTCCACCGCCAACTGTACACAGCAGATAGCCTTTCAAAAACATTTTTTGACATTTAGCCGAGGCCTACTCTCCTGTGCCGAGTATAAAAACGCTATAGGCTACTGTCGCCTTGTCTTTTTTTATTATTATTATCATTTTCATTTTTTGCATCATGTGAACTCATGCAATTGGAAAAATCTCCTTATTCTCAAAACCTATATGCTGAACAGCTGAACTCAAAACCTATATGCTGAACTCCTGCAAGCACATCAATATATGAAATATGGTGACACATGTGAGGCTAATTCATTTGGCCTGTCAGTTAACAACACAGATAGTGCCAGTCATTTTAAGTATAGCTGCATACTTTTTGTAAAACAGTATGATTTCTGTCAGATTTCTGCCTATTTTGGTGGGTAAACAAAGTCATTGGAAATGAGCCAACAGATTGGTTGGCAGCCTGTAAGCAAATCACCTGGTTTAGCTGTGACACACTTGAACGAAGATCATAACATATTTAACAATGAGGAAGGCAGAGCTGGCTTTATCACACCCTGCAGTTCTTTGGTATTGTATTGTCTAACCTCTTTGGTAACATTTTTTTATTTCTTCACACCTTCAGTTTGACGAGATGCTATTAATATACAAAAATGTCACTGCGCTAAACTCAATAATTAGACACTGGCGTTGCAGCCTGGCTACTCCCATTTGTAACTATGAGCATGCATAGTCCTTTGTTTTAAGCCAGTTGTCAATATGTTCAGCAAGTTCCATGTAATCACCTGTCATGTTACCAAAGTTGTAGCCTCGTCGTTTTATCAGGAAGAGAGCTAAGAGAACATTTTTTACATTCCCGATAGGTTAGCCAAAGTGACACCCCATGACAGTGACGAGAAAAATAACAAGATATGATAAGCTACCACATTGGAGAGGTGTTCCCGTATGAAATTTGAGAGAAGATATAAGAAATGAGAGGCACTTTAAAGCAGACTTGAGGCATCTAAAAGAACAAAAAAAATGAAGCAGTTCTCTGGTTTCTACATTTTTGCCTCAGTTTTACTTAATCAGTTGTGTATCACCACAGGTTCTGATGCTGCCACTGCTCCAGGTGACATTATTATTGGTGGATTATTCCCAATCCATGAAAGCATTGATGGACCCATATACAGAGTCGGAAGTGATGAAGGGACCTGTGGCAGGTTTGTGATTTTAATCCTGGCGTTTGAGTTGTTATGCATGTTATGACTCTCCACGATGTGTTGTAAAAGTGATTGTCAAAGTGGGGTGAATAAGGATGTAATATGTCAAATCGTATCACACAGGTTCCACTTACCTCGGCTGGTGCAATCTCTGATGATGGTACACGCGGTGGAGGAGGTAAATAGGAGGGGGGAGTTGGGGAACCTAACCCTGGGATATCGTATAGTGGACTCCTGCTCTGATGTTACCACTTCCCTGAGAAACACCTTGTCCTTTATGAGACTAAACAGTAAGTAAAGTTAGAAAGAAAAAATATTTGGTTCTTTTTTGTGATAAACACAAGAGTTAGGTTTTGCTTTGATTTTTCTCTGTCTTTTATTTTCCTGTTGCTTTTCATTTGTGTCATAATGATCATTCTTTCTCTAAATATCTTACCTACTGCATGCTCTGTGTAAAAGTTAAAAACATGATAAATAACACATATTCTATCAATGTTTTTTAATTTATAAAAAATCGTTTATACTTTGCTGTCTGCATTTGGCTAGAAAATCCTCCATATAAAGTAAATATCCAATGTTTAAATATATATATTTATTAAAATTAATAAATATTAAAAAATTTCAATTTCAATTATAAAGCTTTTCTTGTTTATGATGAGTATGTTCTCCTTTGAACTAAAGACACCTCGATTTGAATGGGAATGGAATCAATACCAAGATTTTGATTTATAAAACTTTTTCAGCTATTAAAATTCACATTTTGACATGTCCTTTATACAACACCAGATACTTTTATAGGTGGAGCAGAGCAGCCCTCCCCACCTGTGTTGGCTGCTGTTGGTGCTTACTACTCAGAGATATCCATCGCAGTTACAAGGCAACTCAACTTGGAAAACATCCCACTGGTACGACTGAGCTTAAAGACATTGGATGATTCATTTGGGATCATACTTTTGGATGAAACGCTTGACACCAATCATGTCTGTGCCATGATCTTAGATGCTGAATTTGTAATTGCATTGAGTGTTCAATTATTACTTTTAAATATCAATCAATCTTTATTTGTATTGCAAGTCATAACAAATGTTACTTCAAAACATTTTACAAAAAGAGCAGTTCTAAACCATACTCTGTTATATTATTAACAAAGACTAATCCACCATGAGCACAGCACTTGGCAGCATTTACAGTGGCAAGGAAAAACTGCCGTTTAACAGGCAGAAACCTTAAGCAGACTCATGATGAAAAGGCGTCTGCAGCAAACTATCGGTTTACAGCGAGTCTATGACAAATATTATTAAACAATTATTTTAAAAAAGCCACCTTTCAAAATCACTCATGTCTGGAAAATTACTCAATTAATTGCACATCAAATACATAATTGAAAATCATATTAATATTGAGGATCAGGAAGGAAAACGCTAATTTTATATTTTGTTTTCATTACATTTCTTGTTTATTGTATTTGAATATTTTTTAACTTTGGGTAGTGTAACTTCACATTCTACCACAGAGCTTGCCAGCTGATTGGTATAAATATAAATATGGTTGTGGTCCCAACTTCTTCAATCTTCTGATCCCAAGGGTCCCAAACATTTGAAACAAGTTTGAAAGCTTGTCTTCTTGTCCTTGCTTCTCCTCATACAGACAAAGTTTCCACATATGTATGTCACTGCTGTTATTTCTACAGTCTAACTGATTCTTTCTGCTTTTTCCACAGATTAGTTATGGTTCAACTTGTGGTCAACTCAGTGACAAAACCCGTTTCCCCAGCTTTATGAGGACAGTACCAGAAGATGATCACCAAGTTCGTGCCATCATCCATATTTTAAAAAGCCACAACTGGACCTGGGTTGGTTTAGTGGCAACTGATAGTGAAGCCGGCCGCTATGCAGTTGAACGCCTCCGGAAACATGCAAAAAACAACAAAATCTGTTTTGCCTTCACCAGCATTCTTCCAGAGGCTCTGGTCGACGATTCGCTAGATGATTGCATTAATGAGACAGTCAAAAGCATCACTGAAAAAAAACACGTGAAGGTCATTGTGTCCTTTGCCAAAGCTTACCATATGATGTACCTTTTCGGAAGGCTTCTCAAGGATCCACGAGGAAGGGGGAAAGTTTGGGTGGCGAGTGATAATTGGTCGGAATCAGCTGAAGTGCTGGCAAACCATACTTTGAGTGATGTGGGAAAAGTCTTTGGGCTCACACTTAAATCTGGAAACACTGCCAGGTTTAGACAGTATCTTACAAATCTTGATGTAAACCCTGGCCATCATCACAACAATACATTCTTGTATAAATATTTGATGAGAAGGATGGAGAGAAAGCCAAATGACACAGCCAATAAAGAATTAATGAGGATGATATATCCATCTCTAGTCAATGTGGAGATGGCAGTTAGAGCTATTGCTCAGGCTGTTGCAGACCTCTGTGTCAACAGGGACTGTAGGACAACCCAGAGATTACTGCCCTTGGAGGTAAATATACTCAAACCTGACACACACAAGTACCTAACATGTACTTTTATGTAAACATTATTTTTATATTTAGTATGGGTGTCTTGAAAAACTTACACATATAACACTGTGTTTTGGTGTTGGCAGCTGTTGTTAGTATATAACCTCTAATAACCCAATGAGCACTTCCTGCGTTCTAAATGACAGAGAGATGGCCAAGGATCATTTAGCAGCCAAAGAGACAGATACTCAGGAGTTAATGGATTGTTAAAATACCAAAATGAGATTGAAAAGTAAACTTGTATTGTCTTAGCAATGTAACTCACTAGCTATTAGTTACACCACCGAAAGTTTTGTAGTAACAGTATGTGTGAGTTCAGGCGGTTAGGTTTGAAAACAATGCATGACTTGCTCGCTAGCTCGCTAGTAAGTAGCATAAGCTTAAAAATGAGAGGTATAATGAGAAAGGCAAATATAACGGGTGCTGGTGTCGCATTGGTTAGTGCGTGCGCCCCACGTATGGAGGCGGTAGTCCTCCAAGCGGGCGGCCCAGGTTTGAAACCGACCTGTGGCTCCTTTCCCGCATGTCATTCCCCACTCTCTCTCTCCCTGAAAAAAATAAAGAAAGGCAAATATGTATGTGATTATATCTTCTCCATTTTCCCCATCAAGTTATGTTCAGTAGTTTTCTTGTTATCTTGACATATTGATCTCGTACTGAGTGCTCCAAAATTGACTGAATAAAATGTATGGATGCATGGCCACTTAGGATTTCCATAAATGTAAGCCCATGGAAATAGAAACACTGTCCTCGTACATATTATGATATTATCTAGAAAATTCTCTTTACCAATCAAATTACAATATATTTCCTTTAGTCAACCTCAAAACCATAACCTTCATGCCCATTTCTGAAACCAAGGAAATGTTGCTCCTTATCTGCTGAATTTAGACCACTGTTTGCTAACAACACGCTGTATAAACTTTACAGATAATATGACTCTGATCCCAAGAAAAAACCACTGACTGTAGATTAAAAATATGAAATAGATTGCTTGAAAGTCAGGTGAAAAATTAAATATGATTTTCAGACTCAGTTTTCAACACTTTCCTTTTTCAGTTAAGAAAAGCCTTAAGGAAAGCAACGTTCCAAATGGATGGAAAAAGCTACCGTTTTGACAGCAGGGGTGACCTCAACACAGGATATGATGTAGTCCTGTGGAAGCAGACGTCACTAACCTTTTTGGACACAAACTACATGGTTGCTCATTATCACATTCAAAACAAGAATCTGACTTTCATCCCAGGAAAAACATTACAAGATTTCAAAAGTGTCACAGTAAGTTTGCCTACCCTGTAAGCATTACTTTACTCTTATTTATTTATGCTTTTCTTTTCTTTGTCTCTTCGTTTTCTACAGTACATGTTAGCATTTTGTGACATAAGGATTAGCTTTGTGATAATGAGCAGTCTAATTCACAGTCTGTGTTAAAGCATAGCTGTAGACTTTCACTGGTTGTTTTTATGTTCTTCCTATTCCTATATATATTTACCCAAAAAGTGAATGATGAGGATCCTTTCTTTTCCCAGACAGATGTGATATCCAGGTGCTCAAACAGCTGTTCTCCAGGCTACATGAAGTATTCAGCACCGGAGCAGCCTGATTGCTGTTATGAATGCCACAAATGTCCCATGGAATACTATTCCAACACCACTGGTGTGTATCAGACTCAAGTAATCACCAGTAACATTGATGGCATGCACTACAACACAAAATCATGAGTGATCCATCAAGACTTATCACAAACGCACCGCAAGAATAAAGAAGAGCATACGTCCAACTTTAAGATTCTCATGAACATTTGTCCTGTGTCTGCAGATTCCTCGAAGTGCCATCCGTGTAACATTACCACTGAATACGTTTCCAGTATTCCTGACAGTTGCCTCCAAAAGAAAACTGTCTTCATGTTTTGGGGAGATATTTATCATGAAATACTGTTGGCATTTGCCGCTCTAGGAGTAGTGCTTACCTTCATTGTTGGGATCATCTTCCTCGCACACTGGAATACTCCTGTTGTTCGTTCATCGGTTGGCCCAATCTGCCTCCTCCTCCTCTTCTCACTGATTAGCACATTTGTGAGTGTGCCATTATTTGGTGGTGAACCCAAGCCTTGGCAGTGCCAAGCTCGGCAGGTATTTTTTGGCTTAAGCTTCACTTTAAGTGTTTCCTGCGTCATGGTCAAGTCATTCAAGATTATCATGGCCTTTGAGTTTGACCCCAGCATCCAGAGAGTCCTGAAGAAGCTCTATCAGCCTTACATTATTATTGCATTCTGCTTGTTGGGTCAAGTTATTATCTGTGCCCTGTGGCTCGCCCTCAAGTCTCCAAAACCCAATTGGAAGAAGTCGTTAAACAATAAGGAACGTCTATTCATTTGCAATGAGACTTCATTCGTTGCATTTGGAGCCATGTTAAGCTATATTGGTCTTTTAGCTCTCATCTGCTTTGGTATTGCTTTTAAGGGCAGAAAGCTGCCACAGAGTTACAATGATGCAAAGTTCATTACCTTTAGTATGCTGATTTACTTCATCTGTTGGATCATATTTGGCCCAGTGTATCTCAATGTTACAGGCAAGTACCTCCCAGCAGTGGAGATGGTTGTCATTCTCCTATCAGCATACGGCATCCTGTTCTGTCAGTTCATCACAAAGTGTTATATTATTCTGTTCAAACAGAAAGCAAACACACAGAGCGCCTTCCGCCGAGATGTTAGAAATTTTACCTCGGGTGGCAATATCGGTGAGAACGATGGTCATTTTGTCTCATCTTCATTGGACTTGGAAGGGATCGAAAACCCTGCTTTATATGTTGAGGCGCAGATGTAAAATCCACAGAAGGATCAAAGCCTGTGCATGAGCGCTGATATGCCATCATGCTCTCTTTCTCAAACCTCGAAATCACAACTCACTAGGTGCCATAATGACCACAATGTCAACAATAAGAAACAGTTAGGGAGATTTTTCAGTATGCCAGCTTAAACTTAATAGTGATGGACAATAGTTTTAAATCTATTTCAATGTTTGTAACCGCAACAGAAAAGTAATGGTTCAAGTATAATGAGAATCTAAAACGAAACTCTTGGCTGGCTCAAGATTTTTAATAAGCAGTGATTGTTTTTCTTTTAAATGTTGAAAAAAGTCAACATACAACAACAAGTCAACAACATTTTTATTTAATTGTCATTCATTGTATTGTTTTTATTTTTTTTAGCTTTAACTGCCTCTTGATACCTGCCTGTTGTATCTCTCTTATTCCTGTTATTTGCATTTATATTATTTTTGGACTCTCTGTTTGGCCCCTCTGTTGATGTCTGTTCTCTTCTTGTCATGAGTTTATGTATTTGCTTTGTCTGCCAAAGCACTTTGTAAACATTATTTTTTTTAAGTAAATAAATGTATTATTATTATGACAAACAGAAGCCAATTTTTTTTAAACTCTATTGGGATCTATTGGGATATCAAGATAACCAAACACAATAAATAAAAATGTACACATTTTATTTTCTTATTTATTTCCACAGTTTACAAATTAGTGCAATCTGTGCGCACGGTTTCATAAATTGTGTTGCAAATCATTTTATGGTGGACAGTGTAGGAAATAACCTCAAGTGAGCATCAGTTTTTGCTAGCCTATAAATATTTTCTTATACTTTGGTATGATTTCAGGACAAAAATGACCACAACTGTATGATTTTGGTTACTAAGTTTTAAGTTGTTTATTAGTATAAATGATTAAGTTAACAATTTAATTTGTCAGATTTAAACTTTGAGCATGTTTTGAGACAATTATTGTAAGATTGAAGAACTTTACTGGATAGATAAGTGGTTCATAAAACTGCAGTGGCTTGTATCCGAACCTGAGGAAACTAAAACAGAGAATGCATCATTTATTAAAAAAAGGAAACATATTTTTTCAAAATGTGATTATTAACTGGTGTTTTACTTTTGGAATGCAAATATAACATTATGGCAATTTGACAGCAGTTGTTACGTTACTCATAATGAAAGGACACATTACACTTTTAGAGTTCATCAGAAGCTGATTTATGACTCATGGTTCTCTGAAACTATGAAATATGTTCCCTTCGGTAACAGTTCTTCAGAATAAAGGGAGAACCTGCTTTTCTTGGTCTTCTTACTTTCGTCCGAACATGTCATTACAAGAGGTGTTTGATTTCTGTGCTCCATGTGAGGCAAACAGAGATAACACATTAACAAGACAGTTAAAGAAAAGGTCAACATGACAATTGGGTTTCACTGTTGCAGCAGAAACTCACAAGTTATCGCCTTTGGAAAAATCATTTCATGAGAGCCGCAGTAATGGCTCAGTGAAATCGAAACACAACCAAAGCTGCAGACATTCCTCTCAGTAGGCACAGTAGCACTGGCTACCATAAATAGACACATCCAAAGCAGAAAAGTGTGTCAACCCTATACTTTCAACCTACCAAACAGCTCTTCTACGCTGCTGTTTCTGTCTCATCTGATCAGTAATTGGTCAGTACTGTGCTGTGAGATTCAAACAAAAATTACCATAACATCGGACATAGCAGAGAGAATGTGAAATGTTCCACATTTGAGACATCACAGAGGAGGCGTTGTAGTTTTTGTAGGACAGAGCATTGCTAACCAATGTCACGGGCCCCCTATCAGATGTGCCAGTAGTCAAATTAACGAATCCAATGCAATTAGTCATTCAATTTAGTGTGCGATTCTATGGTTTCTCTTCTCTGAATGTGTATCTCTCCCTGCACTCTCTCGCTCCTTTTTTTGCTCTGGTTTTCCATGATGGGGTTTTCTGTTTATCTGTTGTGCTCTTGACTGTTCATTTCTGCTTCCCATGTCTTGCTGTGTGTGTTTATGTGTGTCTCACCTGTGTGTAAATGTCAGTGTTGTCAGTGTGTACACGCCAATCTACCTTGTGTGTGTGTGTGTGTGTGTGTGTGTGTGTGTGTGTGTGTGTGTGTGTGTGTGTGTCTGTCTCTGTCTCTGTCTCTGTTCATGCCTCACTGTGGGACGCGTTGATTAGCGCTCGCCGCGGCTCAGCTCCCAGCTGTCCTTGCGGCGGGCTGCTGATTGAAACCAATCAGGCTTGCGATGGCCCCATCGCAGTGACCCCTCACCCCTCCCACCCCCGGCCTAATCACCTGCTGATTGGCCCACGCAGGGCCCCCTCCCATCGGCACGGAAGGTTAATTTGACCGGTGGATGGAGGCTCCAGGAGGGAATAGGAACGTGTGCTGGGTGATATTGCATGGATATAGCCCAGCTGTCAATCAAAGCCACTTAATGGGAAGCGGCGAGGGAAACACTGACAACCAGGGAGGAAGAGAGAGAGAGGAAAGTAAGAAGGAAAGGAAACGAGGAACGAAAATGCCTCTCAGACTCAGCTTTATTTTTGTATTCCCTTAAGAAATCCTCACTCACAGTAAACTTGCAAGCTTTTGCACAACGCATTTTGGTTTTCTTCAGCAAGTGGAATTAGCCAAATTAATAAAATATTAAAAATTAAAAATAGGCTGCACCACACATGACTACGAGATGAAGCTAACATGTAGGCCTAGCTAGTAGCTTAATATTCAGTAGACTATTTATGAAAAGTATACAATCAAAGAAAAACAAAAATTTTGTGGATAATATTCCATGAAGTAGGATTTGACTTGAATATCCATTAAGGTTTCAGTTTTTCACTATATTACAAAAACACAGTTCCTGAAACTAGGGTTTATTAATTCTCCAACGAAAAATGTATAACATATAGGCTACACTAAATACAAAACATCTCAAGGACTATATTCAAAACCATACAAACTCTACTAAAAATGATACTTTTCTATCCAAACTTTAGTTTTCCCAAATGTTTAAACCCATCCCCAGAAACTGTGGCACAATTTCTTAAAACTTTTAACTCTACTGAAAAGAGTCACTCCTTTGTCAAACTCCACAAACGTCTTGCAAAATGAAACACAAAACCACGTTCTGTCTCCTCAAAACAGATTATTTCCACCAAAACAATACACACAGCTATTCTATTCTTATCACTTACAGCATATACAATCATCAAATAAACAAAAATGTGATCAATTGGAAACACCATCAAAAGTGTTCATGTTTGTTTGGGCTTTATGCTGCAATGTTACATATTCAAATGCACACAAGTGTGTGGAAATAAGTTTCCTTTTTATCGTTTTGGTGAAGTATAGGGTATTTTTGGTCCCTAAACAGAATGTGCAGTACTACATTGACATGCAACACAAATGTTACCTATTTTACATAGTTTGCAGCCAAAGTCAGGGGGATCTGAGGTTGTTAAAATTAGATTTGCTCATATTAACCAAAATAATGCAAACACTCGTACTGGAGAGTTTATTTAAAGGTAAGGAGATAAAAGTGTGGGGAAAAATGTTGTTTCCTCACTCAAACACTACTCAGGTCAGCAACACTTGTAATTCAGGTTACAATGACATCATTTAAAATGTATGTACATTTTATTTTACAGCAATGCATCTTTTATTTTCCATTCGGGTCCTGCAGGGCTCGGCTAGGAAAAAGCTTGGGAGCCATTGGTGTTTTCTGCATGAGATAACCTTGTTGTGATTTTTCACTACAGAAATATACTAACTGATTGATGGATACATATTATGGAAAAAAAACTCACAGGATCGGCATTCCTGAATAACACTTCAATTTAATTCCATCCAGGTTAAACTATATCCCACATCTCTTGTAGTGCAGAGTCTCTCCAGACGGTGGCAGTGTTGTTCTCAAAGAAAAAAGTTGCAGCTTGTGTACGAAAAGGTCTGTTAATGGTAAGCAGCTTTGAGATGATCTGCTTGGTTTGGATGCTTTATGTCTGTTTTTTGTTGATTTTAAAACTCTTTATACTTCATTGAATCAATATATTCTGTTTATAGTTATCAATATATACGTACCTTTGAGCTTCAAGGGTCATTCCTAACATTTGGAAAGAAGCTTGACAAAATAAATCAATAAAAAGTCCTTCTCAGGAGCACGTCTTTCACACAGTTCATCAGAGGTTGTATTTGGTTAAAAAAAAAGAAGCTCCACTCAATCTATTTATCTGATGATATGTCATTTATTTTTATTTTTTTTTACATTTGAGGCTCGGTTTTTGATACTTTTAGTTCTATGAAGTGTTGCACTTTACATTGTTCTAACTTGTAAAAGAAGTGTATACTCTTGTAACCCTCAGCATTTTGACAGCGACCCACACCTTCCCCCCACTCTAGGCCAACTCTCCTTATCCATGTCACTCCATACACTTTACCCTATCCCTCTGCTCTCGTGTGTGTGTGTGTGTGTGTGTGTGTGTGTGTGTGTGTGTGTGTGTGTGTGTGTGTGCGTGTGTGTGTGTGTGTTTGCATGCATACGTGCGTACATGAGCGTGTGTGTGAGTGCAGTTTGTGGCAGGTTCTTCTCCCTCCCAGTCTCTGGTGGGCAGAATAATGTTGCTGGATTACCATATCATTACCATGTCATTTCCATGTCATTATCGTACTTGTGCCTGCGATAGGGCTGTGTGTGTGTGTGTGTGTGTGTGTGTGTGTGTGTGTGTGTGTGTGTGTGTGTGTGTGCACGCACTCATGTTTGCACGTATCTGAACTTTGCATCAGATCTTCAACTGTTTCTCTTTGTGCTGCTCACAAACACACAAACACACACGCACACGCACGCACACACACACACACACACACCCACACACACACACACACACACACACACACACACACACACACACACACACACACACACACAGTCCCCCATAGGATACACACTCTGACACACTCCCTCTGTTTTTCTCTGTCACAGACTTCATCTACATATCTGTGTCCCACACTCATGTAAGCACATCATACTTCGCAATAATCTGCTCCTCGTAATCCACACATCATTATTTGTTTGACTTTATCTTAATGCCAATTTAAGTTGACCTGTTGGTGAAAGGACATCAACAGCCAAGGTTTATTTTGGGAAAATGCGTTAAGCAAATGTAATAAAAAGAATCTGTTAAATTAAGATTCTAAACATTTATTTGATTATAATAGAGATTAAACTTTTCTAAACCATTAAGAAGTTTGACAGAAATTCTTGGTTTTCAGTCGTCCATTTATGTTTTTTAGTCACCTTAAACGGAATTTATTATCAGTGAGATACAGTCGCTTTAACAGAAATATGGATTAGTTCACAAATGCGTATGTTGTTGCCAAACAGTGCTTGTTCAGTATTCTCCTTTTTAAAGTCTGTTGTCTGTTGGAGGTTATTTTATGCTTCTGAGCTCCTTACTTTGCCTGAACTCCTTTCTAAAAGCTAACATTGA